TATACATTATTCATATACAATATGGTGAGTGTCAATATTTATAGTATATTATATTATATGAACTAACTACTATATCTGAGTGTAAATTTTCAGCAAAACATATTTAAATATTGTTTTACCAACCATATGTGTGCAAATTATTATGTCTATATATATGCATAATCTCTCTATTTGTTCAGTTCTCTCATTAAACCAAAATCCCAAAAGAATTTATTTCGAACCAAAATCCAGTAACCAAAAATGAAAAATAAAAAAAAAATACCACATCGGCACTAGGCTCAGCGAGTTCGTGCAGTTTGTGCCCAGCGCTTTAAACTCATGTATTTCTCATCTGATTTCGAGGCAGCTAAAAGCACTGCTCGCAAACCGTTCGCACTCGCCGATTCCCTAGAAACATGTCGAAACAAACGTTTAGGAGGGTGTGTCACACACATATCTGGAGAAGAAGAAGATAGCGCAACATCTAGAAATCGAAGCTTTAACAACACACAAAATTGTTAATTAATGCTTTCGCCGGCATGCAATAGAACATGATAAGAAAATACTAAATACGCATATACAAATACGATTACAAACACAACAACAAAAATACATATACAATCAAACACTCACTGACACACACACATCACATGAAAATACGATTCAAACTAAATGAAATCCCCACTCAGGCATGACCCTTTGAATGTTTCAAATGGACAATTAGCTAAATGTTAACCAGGAACTTAACTAAGAACACATGGTTTAGGTGCGGTGTCTAAAAAATACTGCATTACACGTTACACTAAACACAAAAAAACGGAATCGCCACAATGATACAAATGACTACAAATGATATCCACAACTGACTAAAGATAATACAAATTAGTTATGTAAGAGCAAATTATTCAAAAACAAAAACAAAAAAAAAAACAAAAAAAACAAAAAAAAAAGCAAAAAAAAACAAAGAAAACTAAAACAAAGTATATCAAAAATACCAAAATATAATACATTCCTTAATGGACAGAAGAGCAGCTGAGTTGATTAAACGCAGTGTCTGAAAATTTATGTATTTAAATGCAAATGCTGCAAGTTAGCACAAAAATTACTGCAAAAAAATACCCATAAACAAAAGAGAAATATATATAAAATAATTAACAGTTTGCTGTAGCAGTTGGTGTTAAAAAATAAAAAATACATGCGTTATTTGTAGTTTGAGAAAAACTTTTTGAAAGCAAAAAAACCAAATGTCAACTAAATAATGTTAAGAAAATATCAAAAACGAAAAACTTAACTAGACGCAATATTTGTTTGTTAGTATTTCCTTCGTTACAATGACAAGATTCATTAAATTTTTTTAAAAATACACAAACACAACACAAAAGCAAAAAACAATATTACAATAACTGTGGCAGGCCCAACAACAACTTGGGGCTTGCAAAAAACTCTTAAAAACTCTTATTAACGTGGTAGAAAGTATAAAAAAAATACAAATTAAAATTTACAGTTTTAAAAAACACTTAAGAAAAAGAAAATTTAATATTTAGTAGTGAGTTTTTTCCATTAATTTAACAAAATGTTTTTTCAGTGTTTATTCAATACAAATTACAACCAAATATTTCCAAATGTTCTTCGAAAAACAAATTAAATAAGTGTACTAAACCAAAATGAAGAAGACGATAAACTCTAAATGTATTGTAGTAAAAAGTATATAAACTATATAAAAGGCAATTATTATTGATGTATATTCGAAAAGAAAAAAAAAAAACAATTATATTATATTCAAAAGCATACAACCATGCGTAGCAAATTGAACGGAACTTACAAAATAACACAAGCAAAATTTAATATAATATAATAAAATTTAAAAATAAAG